GAGGATGCAGTAGGAGACGGCAGAGGGACACGCTGCGGAGCAGTGGAAGGGCGCAGAGCCATCCGGTGCATGCCAGGGACAGGAGGAGGACGCTGACGCGAACCACGATGACTAGTGCTAGCAGCACAAACAGGCGACGCAGGATGAGACACAGGCTCACGACGCTCAACAAGACCTCCACTCGGACCAGTGTAAGGAGAAGGAGCAGGCAGTGGGGAGGCGGGCTGCAACTGTGACTGCGACTGGACAGGCGGTGGACACTCTAAGGAAGGAGCAGGACCAGTAGAAGGCGGAAGACCAAGAACCTGCTGAAGGAGCGGAACGTAGTACGGCCGCGGACGCGCAGCGCCTCCAGAACCAGCAGGGACAGCACCGGCACCCCCAGCGGGAGCTCCAACTTCAGCAGCACCACCAGCTCCAGCAGCACCTCCAGCTGCCCCAGTAGCGCCAGCAGGACCACCTGAAGACCCAGCAGCTCCAGCAGCTCCAGCTCCAGTACCTCCAGTAGCACCTGCTCCAGCAGCACCACCATCTCCAGCACCGCCAGCAGCTCCAGCTCCAGCAGCACCACCAGGCCCAGCGGCTACAGTACCTCCAGTACGAGCACCTCCGGGACCCGTGGCTCCAGAACCCCCAGTAGCTCCAGCAGCAGCAGGACCTCCAGCAGCAGCAGGGCCTCCAGCGCCCGTAGAACCACCAGCTCCAGCAGCACGGCTCCAGCGCCGAGCAAACCACTCGCGCAGCTGCTGTGGAGAGAGTGGCTCCGCTGGGACGAAGCACCTAAAGGACCTCCAGGCTCAGCACCGCCAGACTCCACATGAGCAGGCCCAGCACCCTCAGGCTCCGCACCCCCAAACTCAGCAACTCCAGGCACAGCACCCCCAGACTCAGCACCCCCGGACGCAGCACCCCCAGGCTCAGCACCTTCAGACTCAGCACCCCCAAGCTCCGCACGCTCAGGCTCAGCACCCCCAGACCCGGCACCCGCAGGCTCAGCACCCCTAGCAGCCCCAGAGTCAACAGCTACCTTGACAGGATCGAGTGCGCCTACCTGGGACACACCTGAGGGGTAGGGGAAGAGACGGTAGTAAGGAACCGACTCGTCAATCGTGACGTCCTGAGAGGACAGAACACGGCGCGAGGTGGGGTGGTAAAACTGCGAACCAGGCGCGTCAGGGGAGAAGCCAAGGAAGACGCAGGGAACAGCACGGGAGGACAGCCTGTTCGCAGATAAGTCGCGGACGAAAGCTCGAGATCCCCAGACACGGAATGCAGACGCATCGCCAACCTTCCCCGTCCACCGCAGAGTAGGTGTGGTCTCCGGCATGGAGACCCGAGGCTGGAGGTTGAGCTGATGCGCCGCGTACTGAACCGCAAACAGCCCCAGAAAATGGGGAGCAGCGGCATGGATCATGGACATACGAGCGACATCCATGACCATGCCAATGCGGCGCTTATCAATCCTATTTTGCTGCGTAGAGGCCGGAAGCGTGAACGTCTGGCGGATGCCCTCCGCACGACAGAAGGCTCGCAGAAGGTCGGAGGAAAACTCTCCACCTCTGTCGGAGTGCAAACGCAGAACGCGAGTAATCGTCAACGACCGAGCCGAAACTCTCGCTGAGCTGACGATGGGCAGCGCGGATCCAGTCGATCAGCACCTCAGTAACCTCACCCTTGCAGCGCAAGGGGAAGACTGTGGTATAACGCGAGTAATCGTCAACGACCAGCAGAAAGTAGCGCTCGTGACCCTGGCCACGGACGTGGGCTGGGCCCCACACGTCCATGTGAAGCGTCTGCAAGGGAGCCTCCATCGGAGGGAACTCGGAGGAGTGAGGAGCGGCGCGCTGCCGCCCCTCGACGCAAGGAACGCAGAAAGGGGCAAGCCCCGGGGGAAGGGGAGGGAGAGACCGGGGAAGACCAGTGACAAGGACACGGGAGGCCATGCCTCGGAGACGAGGCAGGGAGGGGTGACCAAGGCGGTGGTGCCAGAGGAGAGTCTGGTGAGACAGGAGGCGACACGAGCAGGGGGCAGACTCAGGACCTGACCGGGACGCTGCAGCAAACACCTGACCCGACGCAGCTACCTGACCAGACTCAGCAACCGGAGGAGCCACGGTAGTCAGGGTGTACAGGCTCGACCCAGGCTGACGGGTGAACGTGGCCAGGTGCCGGCCCGTCCGAGTACACGAACAGTGGATCACCCGCTGACCTCCAGGAGTGAACTGGTCAACCCACGCATCCTGAAGGTCAGCTCCACTCACCAAGTTCGTGGAGAACGAAGGGAAGTGGAGGCCAGACAGAGAGCCAGACGGGACCGCCGGACACGGCAGAACCGTGGAGGAGTGTGCAAGGACCAGACCCCCAGAGGGGTCAGCAAGAGAGACTGCCACTGGCCGACTGAGCGGCGAGAGTGTGGTGCAGTCGCGAAAGAAGGAGCGGGAATCACCCGAGGCAAGGGTGAAAGTGTGCAAGGCCGCAGTAGGCGCAGTACCAGAGAGAACAGACTCACCAGCACCTGGAGCAATGGACTCACTAGCGCCTAGAGCAGTAGCCTCACCGGCACCTGGAGCAGGATACGCACCAGCACCTGGGGCGCCGCGACGAGCAGGGACGGCGCCCAGGGGGCGCCGCGATGAGCAGGGGGGGGACGCCGCGCGGGTCCCGCAGGGGCAGCTCCCATGGGCTGCAGAGGAAGGCACGGCTGCAAGGGCAGCGCCCACGGGCTGCAGGGGCAGGCACGGCTGCAGAGGCAGCGCCCACGGGCTGCAGGGGCAGGCACGGCTGCAGAGGCAGCGCCCACGGGCTGCAGGGGCAGGCACGGCTGCTCGGGAGGGCGGCGCGCGGGCTGCAGAGGTAGCTCCCACGGGCTGCAGAGGCAAGCATGGCTGCAGGGGCAGGCACAACTACAGGGGCAGCACGGTCGCAGGGGCAGCACGCGGGCTGCAAGGGCAGCGCGGCTGCAGGGGCAGCTAAAAAAAAAATTCAGTTAGGGCAGGGCGGAACGTTCGGTGGGCCCTAGGAACGATTCTGCTCTATTACCATGTGAGAATAAGAACGAGGAATGAGTTCATTGAGCAGCATGAGGAGTACAAGTAGGAAACCCTAACACTGCTGTACCCCATAAGGAGTGCCCCACTACAGCCTACAATATAGTTCTGACAGGAACAATATGTGGTGCAAGGGACTGGAGTGGAGATCAAGGTGTATTCCAAGGTGACGAAGGCGTACCCGTATGTTTTTCACCAGTCGGGGGATAAGACGACGAGTGGGGTGGTGTATGAGATAGTGGGGAATGGTGTGCAGATAACTACTACAATGGGAGCTAGACTACGGGCTAGGCAAGGATGCTCGTGTGATCTCTGCGTTCGTTGGTCCTTAGTCCCTTTCCTAGTGCACACATTGCTTGCTAGTTCACGGGACAAATTGGCAAGAGTTTCACTAGAGAAAGTTGACAAGAATGGTACAATGAAGTTGGCATGGCAAGACTACATCAAAGCTAGCATGCAAGCAGGTCGACTGCCAGCGCAGCATGGTCGACCGCGTTCTAGCACGACTTGGTCGACCACGCTCCAGCAGTGCAAAGTCGACGGCGTGCCAACGTTGCACCCGCAGTACAGCAGCGCACCAGCTTCGCAGGTGCTCGCAGGTGATTGGCGTGCTAAGCCCCGTCACCTGCACAGAGCACACACCAAGTCAACCTGGCGCTGACGACTGCATCTGATTAGCCACGTCGACCTCAGGATACCACCACCGAGGTCGTACTCACCAACTTTGCCTGGGCAACCGTCGCACTCCTCCGCAGAACCTTGTCACCCAGGTAATCTGGTCGACCGGGCAACCACGTCGACCAGCTGCTCTTGTATGTGCCCGTCGACCTCCCAAGTCGACGACCACCCCAAGTCGATCTCACAAGGTCGACCACACCCCTGGTCGACCAGCTCCAGGTCGACGTCACTCCTGGTCGACCAGCTCCATGTCGACCAGTGTGGTTGTCAGCCGACCACCCAAGTCGGCTACCTGAAGTCGGCGTCACCAAGTTGACGCCCGGCGACTCGACGCCCAGCTGCTCGGCGTCCTGAGTCGAGGTCGACATCGGCCCCTCCTCCGTTGACCACCAGGTCAGGTCGACCACCAGGTCGACATCACGCCTGGTCGACCAACCACCAAGTCGACCAGTAGTCCTGTCAGCCGACCACCCAAGTCGGCTGCCCCAAGTTGGCGTCACCAAGTTGACGCCCTTTGCGGGTCGACTTCCCAGGTCGACCTTCCTGAAGTCGCCGCCACCCGGAGGTCGGCGCCCGTACAGTGGCTCCCATGCAGGTCGACCTCCTCGTCAACCAGCTCGCCCACTGCTGCAGGTCGGATGCTTCCCTCGCACCCGACCATGGAATCGGCTCCGCCCAAGCGAGGATGGGGCCAACACCCAACTCCCGTTGACAAATGGGACCTTGGATGGTATTGCCTTTGAAGGGATGGATTTATTGTAGTCATGGTAGGTTTTAGTAGGTGACAATCCACTTTGTGTTTTCCCATGTAACAATTCTTAGTATCTTCGAAGAATACAAGTGTACCGCATAGAGAATCTGAGCAATGACAAAACAAGTGTATCGTATAGAGAAAATGAGCAGTGAACAACAAAATAAAATTTCTCCGGTTCTGTTGGCTTGCAGGTTTGGTCGAATACTGTTTTGGCGAGCTGGTGCTAATGCAAAACTTATTTCAGCTTTTCTCGCTTCAAACGTTTTGGGGATAAATCCAAACTATGTTACATCCCATCCTGGATATGGATTACTCCCATTTCCCCTCCCCTCCTGCCTCATACACTCCACCCTCGGTTCCCCCATCTTCCCTAGTCTTTTAGTGCCCCCATGTCCCCTGTGCTGCTGACCCTCCCTTACCTTCTTTTACAGAGCAGGCCGGCAAGCATGTCTACTAACGTGGGTGACACTTTTCGTGAAACTACCTTAACGTTTTCCTCTGCATCCCATTGGCTTATTACTATGTTTGGCTTACTCAGATGTAGGCAGCTAATCATCTCATTCAATGTATTTACTAACTTACCCACTCACTCTTCTGTGCTTCTTTCCCTTGTATCACCAATTTCTCCTCCTCTTGCTTTACCCGTCCCTCTCTCTGCCTGCCCCCCATCTCCACTCCACCAACCTCCCTCTTTGTCCTTCTCCCCCTCGCTGCCCACTTCCCTCCTATCTCCCATCCCTCTCCTCCTCACCAGCACTCCTCTCATCGGCATAGGCGAGTGGTTGCAGAGCCCGCTTTCCCCTGTGTCATCACCAATGCGCTTCTTTCTGTATTATCCTCTCATCCCACTCGTCTTCCTTTCCACACACTTCGTTTTCCACTTCTACTTTCCCCTCTGTCCCTCCTCTCCTCCCCATCAGCCTCTCCAGCCATTCGCAGCCATTCGCAGCGCAAAATATAGCATCGGCACGGTGCAACCGAGACAGGAAAATCTGTAGCAGCAGAAACATCAGAAGCAGGTCCAGCGGAATCGCGAATCACAAAAGGCACACCTGAAGAAACACCTGGAAAATCACCTGAAGAAAATCCTGAGAAAATATCAGATCGGCCAGCTTCCCCTCTCTCATCCTCCTCCCCCTCCACTCCCTCCTCTCCCCCCCAACCTCCCTCTGCCCTCACGCTCCTCTGGCCAATCATAGTGCACCCCCATTTCAAGGCCTCCAATGTGCACGTTCTCGTGCTCCCATTGGTGGCGCCCTGCCACGTGGAAGCGTATGAGAGGCTGTGCTGGCAGCGCACTTGTGGGGGAGGGGCGGGGTTGGCGCATGGGGGTGGGAGCTGGGGAGGGGGAGGGGGAGTGGGGGTAGCAGGGGGAGGCGCGGGTGGTTTGGGGGGCGCTAGTATTGGTGGTTCCAGTGGACCCACGCTGTCTTCTCTGCATGCCAACCTGCCCGCTGTTACAGCGTGAGTGATTGCATTGCAATCTGCAAGTCATGCCAAGTCAAGCCTTGCCAGTGAAGTGGGAGGGGGAGGGGTGGGTGGTACTGATGCTTGCCGACCTGCCTGCACTGCTTGCCAACCTGCCAGCAATGCTTGACAACCTGCCTGCACTACTTGCCGACCCGCCTGCTCTGACAGCGTGAGTGACATCAAGAGCCATCTCTGACACTGCAAGCCTCTTGCTCTCGCATTCCCCGTCCCCTGTCCCTTCCTTTCCTTTCCTCAGGGCAATCTTTCCTACTCAATGTGTTGAGTTTCTTTTCTGACTGCTATTTGCCGCTTCTCTGCTTGCATCCTTCCCCCTCCCCCTCCTCTCTCCCTCTCCCATTTGAGGGCCGTCTCGCTCGCTCAGTGCATCGATTCTCTCATCTCAACCGACTCTACCGTCACTCCCATGGCTCCCCCACGCACCTCCCCTCTCCGCCCCCTCCGCCCCCTCTTCAGCCCTCCCCTCCATGTCCCTCACTGGGGGAGGAGGAGGAGGATGTGGGGGAGGAGGGATGGGAGGGGTGGGCGCTGGTGCGAAGGCTGGTTCTTTGGGCTCTAGCACCATTACCAGCAGTACCAGTAGTGCTGCTGCTACTGCTGCTGCTGCCGCTGCTGCTGCTACTGAGGGAAAATGGGGGGTGGAAGAGGGGGAGGGGCAGGGGGAAAGGGAGGGGCAGCAGCAGGAGGGAGCGGCTTAGGGTTTGGATCACTAGGGGCGATAGGGGCCAGTATGGGCATGTCCCGAACCAAGACCGCCCAAATCAGCCAGCTTGGTTCCGCGCCAGGCTTGGGCGGAGGCTCGGGAGGAGGGGATGTGGGGAGGAAGGGTGGGGGTGTAGGAGATGGTGTGATGCTCCAGCTGCTAAAAGCGGCTGAGCTGGAGGGCATCAAACTGCTCATCTCAACGTATCTCCCCTTTGGTGAGAATGCATTCCACTTGTCCTAGTTCGCACATTGAAGGCTTTGAAACGATGTTTGAAGGGAGCAGCTGAACTGGAGGGGATTAGACTGCTCGTTTCAACGTATCTCCCCTTCGGTAGGAGATGCGTCTTCTGCTGGTTCTGAATATCAATGCCCTCAAGACGAGGGTTGGGAAGTGGAAGGGACAGTGTGGGCAGCTATTCAGGGCAATTCTCCATGTAAATCAAACCCCAATTTCTTCTCTTTCCCTATCCCTCCACCCCCAGTCCCTTCCAAAACATGGCCTTGCTTGCCTGCAGGTCAACCTGTCGACTTCCCCACACCTGCCACCATCACCACGCTTCGCACCCAACCAGCTGCCTACTCTCAAGAACTCTCACCCTACCTTCATCCGCCTGTTCGCGCTGGTCGCACTAGTTGTCGTGTCCCGCGTCCACGTCCTCCTCCTGTCCCCGGCACTCACCTGATGACGCTTTGTCCTTCCTCTATTCCGATGCGAGTTCCCCTGCCGTCTCCTCCTGCATCCTCCCTTCCTGACGGTCCGAACCCTGAGTCTGACTTGGTTCGTGCTGCTAGTCCTACTGTCACACGTCTTCTAGCCACTGTTGTCACTAACCCTTCGTTTGAGACTACTGCTGCGCCTGCCCTTGTTGCTGAGCTTGTTGACTTTGCTGCCGCCTGTCGTCTTCACTACGCCACTAGTCTTGTTGCTGAGTCTGAGTCTGCCTCTCCTCCGTCCGTCGCGGGTGAGTGTGTTCTTAGCACGGACGTACTTGATGATAGGCAGGAGGACTTTGAGTGTCTTGCAGCTGCTGTACATTATCTCGTGTCCATGCAGCTTGCACCTGAGGGAGACCCGGATGCACCAGACATCCCAACCCTGCGCTCTTACGTAGAGGCGATTACGGGTCCCTACTCCTCTCACTGGTAGACAGCCATGGATGCAGAGATGGCATCCTGTAAGTCCACAGGCACTTACGTCGACGCAGTTCCCCCTCCTTGGGCGAACATAGTCGATGGCATGTGAGTTTTCAGGGTGAAGCGGCCGTCGGGTTCTCCGCCTGTCTTCAAGGCATGTTACATTGCACTAGGCTTTAGTCAGTGACATGGAGTTGACCTCTTCCAGACCTTCTTCCCTACCTTGAAGATGACCACTCTTCAGGTGCTGCTGTACGTCGCCGCTCAGCGTGACTACGAGTTTCACTCCCTTGACTTCAACACTGCTTTCCTACAGGGCAGCTTGCACGAGGAGATCTAGCGGCGCCGCCCACCTGGCTTCACTGGGTCGTTTCCTGCAGGTACCTAGTGGAGCCTCCGGCGGCCAGTCTATGGTCTCCACCAGATGCCTCGCGAGTGGCACGACACACTGAGGACGATGCTTGCGGCTCTTGGGTTTGCTCCTTCGACCGCTGACCCGTCGCTGTTTCTGTGCACCGACACTTCGCTGCCACCATTCTACATCCTTGTGTATGTCGACGACTTGGTTTTTGCCACTACTAACTCTGAGGCACTGGCCCTAGTGAAGTCGGAGCTCCAGAAGAGACACACGTGCACAGACATGGGTGAGCTGCGCAGCTATCTTGGCTTGCAGATCACCCGGGACAGAGCACGGCGCACCATTACATTGACACAGTCACATATGGTGCGGCAGGTCCTTCAGCGCTTCGACTTCCAGTACTCCTCGCCACAGTCCACTCCTCTGCCTACTGGTCACTCGCTCTCAGCTCCACCTTCGGACGAGTCCGTAGAGTCGAGTGGCCCGTATCTAGAGCTTGTGGGCTTCCTCATGTACCTGATGACCTGCACTTGACCTGACCTTGCCTACCCTCTTAGCATCGTAGCACGCTACATTGCGCCCAGGAGACATCGACCAGAGCACTGTGAGGCCGCTAAGAGGGTGTTGCGCTACTTGTGCAGTACGTCGGGCATGGTGCTCGTGCTTGGAGGACGGGGTCGAGTTGTTCTCACTAGCCAGGCAGACGCGTCTTGGGTTGACGACTTGGCTACGCAGCGGTCGTCACAGGGTTACACCTTCAACCTTGGCTCCGGTTCTTTTTCTTGACGGTCTGCCTGCTCGTCTTCTGTTCTCAGCTCTAGTTGTGGGCTGAGATCTACGCCACATCCATGGCTGCACAGGAGTTACGCTGGCTCTCCTATCTGCTGACCAACTTGGGAGAGAGGACTCGTTCTCCTCCAGTTGTGTACGTCAACAACAAGGCCGCCATTGCCTTGTGTCAGGAGCACAGACTGGAGCACATAACGAAGCACATCGCTCTCCGCTACTTCCTGGCTCGAGAGTTACAGTAGCGTGGTCAGCTTCGTCATGCTCACGTGGCCACTCGGACCAACACTGCTTATATATTCACCAAGGCACTTCAGCTTGGTGATCACCAGCGTTTCTGTACTATTTTAGGCCTTGTGCTTGCTTTGTATCACTTGCTCATTTAGTGACTTTGCTTGTACTGTGATGTATATACTTATACTGCATGCTTACACCTTCTAGGTTGTGATCATTGTACTGCTTGTTTCCATTTATATGACACTGCATGTGAACTGGCCTTGTGGCCATTTGCTTATGCTCAGAGTTGTTGGAAACAATTAACTCTAAGCGCCTCTGTCGTGTCGAAACACCAAGCCAGAAGCGAAGCGAAGTATATCGAAGCACCGGCGAGTCAACCCTCGGAGGTTGAGCGGTTGCTAGAGGTTACGCGAAAGTCAAAGGTCAGCGACCTTTGACCTGACAAGTACAGCGCGACAGCAAGGACACACAACTGTCTCGTTACAGAGCAGTTGCCCGAGTCGTCACTGTATCGAACCGCAACAGCAACAGTAAAGTAGTTGCAACCGTATCTTTTCGTATTCCTTGTACTCTTATATAATCTTGTATCGCTTTGCTTTAATCAATTTACTTTGCCCTCACATACCAGCGCAAGGTGATTCAACTACTCCATTAAACGCTTCCGCTAATTACAACATGTCCTACCCAGAGTTCAGCCCTGCAAAGATCCTAAGGGCTTTTCTCAGCCCAACATGGTATGAGAGCTAACAGGGGGAACTCAACTACCATCAAGTTATCTACAACGTCAGAAGGCATGGCAACACAAAAGGAAAGGAGCTCCTCTAACGGCTCCCCGGGTACTACTCCTACTCCACCTCCTGCCTCTGGCCTACAGACAGAGGAGGGTACGGCAACAAGACCAAGAGCAACTTCTACTGAGACTCCTGCGAATCAATCTGCAGGCTTCGATCAGAACATGATGGAGAAGTTTTTCTCCTTCATGTCCTTCTACGAGCAACACCAACAGTCGGCATCTGCGCAGTCAAACAACAGCAACAAGAACAACAACGTGACTCCAATGAGCCTTGATGGTTCATCCTACGCACGTGGAAATCAACAGCAGCAACCTACCTTTGCTCCGTACGAGCCCCAGCGCGGCTCCGTCAGCTTTATGCCACAACCGCAGCCTGCACCTGGACAAGAGAAGACACTGGACGCACTTCAAGTTCAGTCGCAGTTCGCGCACGTCTTAAAACTGCAGACGTCAAGGCCCTTCGACGGAAAGGACTTCTTCACCTGGTCATTCGAGTTCGAATTGATGATGGAAGGCGCGCAGATTCTTGGCTTCTTCGACGGATCCCTGCCTTACCCAACACACGGCACACAGTATGACAAACAGCAGTACACGTATCAGTCAATGATGGCGTACATGATTCTACTGAGGAACATCACTCCAAATCAGCAGCAGAATATACGGTCTTACCTGGGATATGGCAACTCCGCCGAACTCGCATACAGCCACTTGAAGAGCCTGTATCAAGCAACAGACAGCGTAAATCAGAGTCAGTTGATGGCGCAACTGACAACAGTCGAGATGAAACCAGGCGAAAAAGGAATGGCGTATATCAGCCGCTGCCGCGAACTACGCGACAAACTCCTTCGATGCGGAGGATCAATCTCCGAAGAAGCCTTTGTCACAGTCGTCATCACTGGACTTGGTCCTCATTGGCGCTCCCCTCGAGCTATTCTCCGAGCTCACGGGAAGATCTCCGAAGCAGCACTCTGCGCCGAAATTCACGCCGAGCAGCAAGATATGGACCTGCAAGAGGAGCGGCACAAGAAGAAAACGTCAGTTCCCGAATCTGCGTTCCACACTCAGCGACGCTACAACAACAACAACAGCCGACATCAACCAAAGCCTGTACCTCCGTTCTGCCATCTCTACAAGACATCAGGACATCCGCGCACACACTGCCCGAATCGACAACAGTCATCACCGCCACAGCGAAAGCTTCGACCCTCAAGCAGCCAAGTCGCTTCAACACAAACGAACCCCACCGCTCAAGTTCAAACGACCTCAACGGGACAATCTGCACAAGGAGCAAGAAACATCGTCAGTTGTATGGCAAGACTGAGCGACTCTTGTATCACCGAGTCACCGCCACACTACTTGTCAAACATTATACATGTTTATATTGTGTAGGCTATAGTGGGTTTAGCCTTAGGGGGTACAACTTTGCTAGGGTTTCCTACTTGTATCACCCTGTTGCCTAGTTTCATCCATTCTCGTGCAGTACTAGATTCTAACATGGTATCCGACGCCTAGGTCAGGACCTAGGACCCACGTTGGTTAGGGCCCACCGTTCCGCCGCGCCGTCGAGCGCCTCGCTTACTAGCGCCGTCGAGCGCCCCTTCTCCTAGCGCCGTCGTGCGCCCCTCCTCCTCGCGCCGTCGAGCGCCCCACCTGCTAGCGCCGTCGTGCGCCCCTAGGACAGCCGC